AGGAGCAAAAGACTATGAGTGCAGTGGATAAGGATCAGAAAATAAGGCGTGAGTATTGTTTGGAAAGGGTGACAAATAGGAAATTAGGCAGGTTGTGGGTCATTGGTATATGGATGAGAGTGTTGGGTATGAGCTAAAATGGGGGAGGAGCACTGTGGGAGAAGGTTGTGGTAGGAGTAGTTCAGAATGGGAATCTGGAGAAGTGTATTTCAGCATGAGACTGCTTTGCCATCCCCAGCATATGTTCTATACTAGCCATGAGCATTGCCTCTTCTCTGTGTCTGCTCTATAATTCCTGGCTCCTGGTCCTTCCCAGAGCCCCATGCTCGGGCTGAGAAGGTGGCTCAGTGGTAGAGTGCTTGCCTTCACATGCATGAAGCCCTGGGTTCGATTCCTCAGCACCATATAAGCAGAAAAATGGTGCTGTGGCTCAAGTGGTAGAGCTCTAGCCTTGAGCTGAAGAACTAAGAGACAGCGCCCAGGCCCAGAGTTCAGGTCCCACAACCGACCCCCCCCAAAAAAAAAAAGAAAAAAGAAAATGGGCACCAGAGCCCCATGCTCATGAGCCTCAGTAATGAAAGGATGAGTGCCTATGGATCTGGAGGCCTCTCTCATAGGGCTGGATTTGCCAGGGTTCCTAGGTGGCTGGCTGCTTATTGACTGCCTCCATCTTCCTCCACCCCTAAACAGAAATCAAGGCACCACTTCAGCTTCAAGAGCTCTGGATCAGAAAGTACACTTGTAGCGCAATGCTTCCAGTGACAACAGGGACCACTGGTCAACCTGAGGATCTTTCCCTTTGCCCACTACTCTGCTCTCAACACCTCTCATTCCCACCATTAGACCAGAGTCCTGCTTGGCAGGATAGCTGTGGCAGGTGGGAGGAGAGAAGGCAGTGAGGCAGAAACAGCTGCTAGCTGGAGTGGAGGAAGAGCAGGGACCTAGCGGGTATGGGCAGAAGGCGAGGTGTTGGCTCTGGCAGCCCCCCCACTCTCTGTGTGTGGGTGTTGAGGCCCAACCGCCTTGTCAGACCTCCCTATCCAATGCCACTGTTCAGGGAATTGGCTCTATTCATGGGCCTAAACTCTGTACTGAGAGAGATCTCAGAGGCCACTTGGTCCAATGGCCATATAATCCTACTCCCATAATCTGGTGGGAATCACTTCCATAGCATGTCTAACCAGGAATCAGGCCAGACCTTTCCTGAGATCAGGAATGAACCTCCTCCTAAGGTAGCCTGTTCCTTGCGAAGGAAAATACTGTGAAGTATGTGCCTCTAATGTGCCAGACCTAGATCCTATACAGACTTCTCATTAATATTGACCACGTAGGACTGTTTTGATTAATTATCTCCATTTTACAAATGAGAAAAGCAAGGCCCAGAGAACTGAAGTACTTAGCTTGAGGGCACACCAGTAAGAAATGAGGAAGCTAGGATGGAAGGCAAGCCTTTCTAACTATGAAGTTTGTCTGAGTACAATTAGGACATGCTTCTTCATTTGTACCAGAACAACTCTTCTGAAGTGTAGGATCTGAGACCAGATTGTATCCTCCTGAATCTCTTCTTGTCCAAGCCAAACTGCTCTCACTTTCTCCAGAAGAACTTGGGTTCAAGGCTCCTATGTGACCTGGCCTGTTTGAGACCCAGAATCAAACAGTCTGGTAGATGGGTGTGGATCAGTTCAGAATTGAGCAGAACTGTTACATCTTCCCTTGCACTAACCATTATCAATAGTAGCCCCTCTTGGATGAAGAGCTATGACAGAAGAGGCTATGAGTTGGCTCCCACTTTTACCACTCCTCCCAGTCTGAGTGTTCTGAATTGAGAGTAGGAAAGAGGCAGAGGTGGGGGGAGAAAATAAGAGACAGGGGCATGGCAGGATTGGGAAGATGGAGAGCTGGAAGAATTAGGTGGTTGTCCAGTACTCCTAGGCACAGCTAAGGGATAGTTAGAACTTTGGAGTTCACGAGGAACATAATGGAGAGGTCAGGCATGGTTCCAGGAGCTGGGAGAGACCAGGATGGGGATGGGCATCAGACTGCCTGAGCTAACATCGCCCTGCTGAGCGAGAGGAAGTCAGTCGCACATTAAGGAAATGTTGCAGCTGGTACTAAATTGGGAGGTGTCACAGACAGCAGTGAAGACAGGTATGATTTGCGGGGCCCTGTGGGGCCCAAAACAGGGGCAGATATCTCAGAGGGAGGTAACAAGGTTTCTGGGGCCACCTAGGAAGGATTTGACTGAGGTGCTGTAAACAAAGGCTCTGGGCCCTGGGCCCTGGGTCACGTGGCTCAAAACTAGGTTCCAGGCTCGATTTTCAGATGAGAGGAAGCCTCTTCATCCTGGCCTTGGTCTGTAAGCTCTCCACTCAAGATAAGTGTGTGGCTGGGGCATCTTCTGCCAGCAATTCCATTTAGGGTAGGGGCTGGACAGACAGGCTCAGAGCTTGGGAGCAGGCTCAGGGATGGGCAAAGAAGTCTGTGAGGGAGGTTGGATGAAGGACTGTGGGAAAAGGAAGCTGCAGAAAAAAGCAGGACTGTCTCTCCCATCCACTTAGTATTCATAATACAGCTGGATTTGAGCGCCCTGTGGTTCCAGGCCTCAGTTGAGGAAGAGAGCTTTGGAAGAGGTAAGAAAGACAGGAAGAGTGCTGAATAGCTGGCACTGCCCTTCTGTCTGCACAGCAGGCAGGAGTTTACTTGCTCACAGGAGAGAGACAAGGAGACAACAGAGAAGAGGGAGGGCTTTAGGGAACTTGACAGGAGGTCATGCACTTAGCACTGAAATATACAAGTTGGAATCCTGGAACTTCTGCACATTGGTGGAGTGACCTCATGGCAAAATGCCTAGTCCTTCTGCACCTCAGTTTCTTCATCTGCAAATGAAGTAGTGATGCTAGTATCACTAACCTTCCTGGGTAGTTAACTTCATAACATATGTAAAAGGGGTTGAAAGCCCTACACATTACATTAATGTTAGATGTTAAATTCTTATTACAAAATACTCTTAGTTACCTCTTTCCACTTAATTATCACAAAAGACTCAGAACGTGGTAGAACAAGGATTATGATTCTAGTTTAACAAATGAGGAAATGAAAGCTTAGGGATGGAAAGTGACTTGTCCAAGGTCACACAGCTAACAAGTCATAGAGGCCTCCTGAATCAGAGATAAGTTGTCTTCTCCCACATCAAACTGCTTGGTAAAAATAACCAGTGTGAGAAGTTACTATTGAGTATGGGATCAGATGGGACTTGGAGCCAACTATAACATAAAGAAAACCCCATGGGAAAGTTATGATGTGGCTCTCATTCATCCTGATGATTGGGAGGGGTGAAGGTGGTACACAGTTGGGGCTACGTGTTTGGAGAGAAAAGAACAAGAACCTGAAATCCTTTACTCCATCTCCTAGAGGACTAAGTCCTTCTGCTCTCACTGAGTGAATGGGTCTGTGTTGGACATTGACAGTATGTCTCTGTATAACAAAATGTGTCCTTCTTCATGTTACAGCACTTCTGCCTCCCTGACACTGACACTATGGGGAAACGAGTGTGTGAGAGTGAGAGAGACAGAGAGTCTGCATCTGTGGCACTGTTGGAGGCTATAACGACCTTTCTGGATCTCTATGTGACTTTGCCTGGGGTAGTGGTGGTAGTGTTCTGGCTCTGTGTGTATGTGTCTGTCTATACACCTTTAAGAAGTGGAATATCTCATTTGGTAGTGTGAGTGAGGCAGTGAGTCAGCTGAGGCTGAGGGAGGCGGGAGGGAGACTGCTAGCTTACGAGAACAGGAAAAGGGAGGAGAAAGTGAAGTCAGGATCAAGAAGCTACCCCTTTCCTCCACAATCCTCTGCCCCAAATCCAGATGGAACCCACCAAGAGATCTGGAACCTTGCAGAAGTCTGTGAGGGTCATGGTAGCTGGAAGAAGACAATTTCTGTTCCTCTCCAAAGCCTTGGAGGGAGATGAGGTAGGCTAGGAGGCAACCATCTCCCCCTCCAGCTCTTGGCCCCAGCTCGAGAATGTATGAGGCCACCATCCCACCTAGTCTCCTTGTCATTTGACCCTTTGACCTTGCTTTTTCTGTTTCCTTCCCAAAACAGACTACCTGGCCAGGTGAGGAGAAGAGGGAAATAGCATCAGAACCCAGATATTTACAGCCCCTACCCACATACTATTCAGAACAACCTTACTGGGGGTGAAGAAGTTTCTCAGCACTCAGCTCTTCCCTGGGCAGGCATGTTCTGCAGCTGCCTCGCCTCTTGCTTCCTCTGGATGCTTGTGGCTAGCAGTAGGAAAAGGTATCTCTCCCCACTCCCCCCCCCCCACATCCAACACCAACCTGGGATGCTGGGATGGAAGGCAGTGGGAATTTTGTATTGCACCAACCTTTAGTGGCCCTTTTACAGCTGGAGTGTTCTGTGTCCCATTCATTCCTTTGTTAAAGGACAGGAGCCTGCAGGTTCTGTCCTAAGGAGAAGGTAGGCACCTCTGGGCTCTACCTGTTTAGGCTGTGGTCAGTTACCTCAAGTCATATAAGGTCAACAGTATGGTGTGCCCTGCCACCAGGAGTCTCAGGAGCCTAAGGGCATGGGTTTGGTTGCCAAAATGTTCTTCTGCCACTTTTGGCCTTACCCTGCACTGGCCATTCCCAGGAAGTTCAACCCTGGCTCAGTAGGTAGGCAACCTGGCTGAGGATTGGGGAAGGGGGGGTTAAGTCTCTGGGGCTGGCCAGCCTAGGACCCAGGACCCCTCCCTCTCCTTCCTCCTGCAGGGGTGGGGCTCCAGGAAGGCCCAGCTCTAAGAAGCCCACACCTGAATCAATAGAAGTTGGCCAGCTGATTGATTACCTAGCCTGAATCCCTTGGCCTCCTCTCTCAGGAGGGGCTCCGGGCGGCACTTACAGTGCTGCACTGGGAATGGTGAGTAGAGAAGGGAACCTTTTTGCTCCTTGATCCCTTGCCCGAGCCCAGTCTTCCCGGCCGCGGTCGCCTGTTCCTACCTTACAGCCTTTTGTGCAGGACCGGATGGAGTACTCTTCTGCCTGTAAATATTTATGCAGCACGAGGTCGAACTCGTCATATTTTTCCTGAGCATGTCGGTCCAGTCTCTGGTAAGCCTCGATACAGTTGCTACATGCCTCCCAGGTCCCGGAGCCTGGGCTGGCCACTACAGCCAGCAGGTCCCCCAGCAGGGTATCCAGACTGCAGTCCAGGCTGTCGGGGCGGTCCATGCCCAGCAGCAAGTCCCAGACCGAGTAGGTGTCGCAAAAGGAGAGAGTGAAGTTCCGAAAGTGGCCTTTGAGCAAGTTTTTCTTGGCGGAGGGGAACTCGGCCGGGGCACGGGAAGGGGAGTCAGGGGGCCGAAGAGGGGGGGCTGGGGTAGTCGGTTCGAAAAGTCTCTGCAAAGATTCCAATTTGGTGCAAGCTGCATCCAGCCCCGTTGGCTCGGGGATGCCGCCGCAGACCGGCCCGGGGCCGGCGGCGGGGGCGGCTTTGGTCAGGTTGCTGTATCGGGGGCTGCAGGAGCCCGGGGGTGCTCTGGGCTCACCCAGCGACGACGGCGGTGGCTGCAGCGCTCGAGGAGGCACCGGTGGCCGCTCCCGGCCGGCCCCCCAGGGCGGCCGCATGGCGCTGCTCAGCTCTCTGGCCCGGGGCCGGGCCCCCGCGCACAGCCACAGATGGTCAGCGAGCAGCACGGTGAAGAAGAGCAGGGACGCCAGGGACAGTCGCCATCGCTGCGCCCGCTCAGAGTCGGCGCAAGGTTTGTCGCTCGGCCTCGGAGCCCAGCAGCAGCAGCAGCAGCAGATAGTCAGCGCGGCGGCGTCTTTCTCGGGCCACATCCAAGCGCCCCAGAACATATTTCAGGGGAGTCCGGGCTGGAGGGAGGAGGCAGGCGCGAGGCCGGACGGCCGTCTTGTCTGAAGCGAGCGGGCTGCGCACCGCTCCGCGCTTCTCGGCGCCGTCCAGGCACTACCTCGGGGGCCGCATGGTGACACAGGCCGGCCGGCCCCGGGCGCTCCCCACCCCTCCGCTGAGGCCGGAGTGGCGGAGCGCTCTCGTGCCGTCCCCGCGCCCTTCCCGCGCTCCCTCGCTAAGCCCGGGGCGCCGCCGCCCGGCCCCCGCTAGGCGCTGCCCAGAGTCCCGGCGGGAGGCGGTGCGGGGCACTGGGGCGGTGGCGGCTGCGGCGGCGGCGCCGCACTCCTCATAGTGTCGCTGCCCTCAGCTCCGCACCACTTCTCTCCGCCTCGGCGGGCCGCCCGCCTGGCACTCTGTTCCAGCCGTCTCGGCTTAGCGCAGCTCTGCGCCCCTCAGCGCCGCCCTGCGGGCCCCACCGCCGCGCACGGCTTCTCTCCGCTCCCCTCGCCCGGCCGCCCCGCGCCCGAGCGTCCGGCCGCCCACTGTCCGCTCCGTGCCGCTCCCTGCCTCGCCCGCGCCCTTCTAGGCCATCCAGCCAGTCCACTGGCCAGCCCTTTGGGCTTCTCTCGTGCTCCGCCCGTTGATCCGGGTCGGTCCCGGGCCGGCTCCGGTCTGGCTCTGCACCCTCTGCTCCCGGAGTACCGGCTCGGGCGGGCCACCTGGCTCCCCGCAGCGCCACAGGCGCCGGACGCCGACACCCAGCTTTACTTAGTGCGCCTCTAGCTTCCGCCTCTCGTTCACACCGCTGTGGCGGCCGCCCAGAGGCACGGCCCCGTGGCTCCCGCTGGCCATGCCCCCTCAGTCTGTCGCCATCTTCCGCTGTGCGGAGAACACCTTGAGAGCCCGTGTGCGAGTGTGTTTGGGGGGAGCGGGGCGGAGAAAGAGGCACCGAAGAGGAGGAGGGAGCGGGTCTGGGGCCCCGACTGCGCCTGCGCCTCAGGACTACCCCCCCCCTTCACCCCCCCAACCCAGCCCCCGTCGGCCGCAGCCTGTGCTGTTTGGGGATGTTTCCAGTCCACCCCCAACTCCATTCACTTCAGCGCCTCTGTTCATCCGCCCGCTCCCCGCGTGCACACGCCACACGCTGAGTCCCAGGCCCAGGAACTCCCCCTCCCCCACCAACCCCGGCTCCAGCCTCCCTCCCCAGGGCGCCCCCCCCCTCGCACTACCCCCCGCCCCCGAGGGCGAGGAGACTTCTGAGGGTGAATCTAGGAGGAGGTGTCTCCCTAGCGTTTCACTGCCTCCATGGGTAGCTTCCCTGTCCCCATGACTAGGAGACACCGGAGCCGGCTGCCGCCAATCGGACCAGTCCCGTGTTCCTAACTCTGCGTTTGCCCTCACTGTCTTGCCTGAGGCCAAGGCGGCCCCTGGTGCTGAAGGACAGCTCCCATCTAGTTCGGCTTAGGTAGAGGGCTGCCCTTGGAGAGCTTCCTCAAGGAAGCCTGACAGTGGGGCTAAGATGGGTAGTAGTGATGGGGTGTCATTTTTGCCCTTAGGAAGATTTCCAGCAGCCTCCCCCCCCCCCACAACCCCGGCACTGGCTTTCTGGCTCCCCCTACAGGTTGCTTAGAATAGCTGTGCAAGAGTTAGGCAAGCTGCGCCGTGCTGCCGGGATGGAACCATGTGCTTGGGGCCCTCCCAGAGTCACATGGCACTAAGAACTGGGATAGATAAACGTCCTGCCGCGCCACTAACCTTGTTTGGACTCCCCCAAATCTCAGATTGTTCCTTTGATCTACTTCCTACTCCCATTAACTCTTGCATTCTAGTTTTTTAACCAACTATTACTGGCAAAGATTTATTAATATTAAGAATACTAACAATAAATAAAATAGCCTTTATTGACCAGACAGTATATGCTGGATACTGTGCTAGGTACTTTGTGTGCATTACTCACCTACTAATGTTCACAATAATCCTATGACATAGGTGCTACTCTTATCTTTATTTGCAGAGAAGGAAACTGAGATTTAAAGTGGGTTACATTGCCTAAGGTAACAGATACAGCTAGATAGAAACACAGGCTATAAGAGCCCTCTTAACAGCCAAACAAAATCCTGGAAAGATAGAAGGGTAGGTGACATGGACCTGCTTTAAAGGAAATCACAGTTTATACGACTAATTCACACATACATATCTACTGGCTAGTGGAAGGATTCATGGAGTGAAAACATAAATACAGATTCCATCTCTGATTTTGCTATGGTCTCTGACTTAAATCATTTCCCTTTCAACCTTGCTTTTTCCCTGAAGAATGTGACAATATGCCAAAGATAAACAAGACTAGTGGGAATACATAGGCCTATTAAGAACTTATTCACTATGGTGAGGGCATGAAAGGTTTCTAGAGGAACAGGAGCTGGTTCTTAGTGAGTGCCTAGAGTATTCCAGGTAAAGGGGATATAAGTGAAGAAATTCATGAAAAGCAACTTTGTATGTTTTGTGAGTCCATGAATGTGACATGAAACTGTTACAGTTGCTGCAGGTAATTAATGGGGAATTATAGGGAAAGGAGACCAGAAACAAAACTGTCAGACTTTAGAAGCCTATTCAAGCATTCTCATGGAGTTAGCAAAGGACACTGAGGTGGACCAAATATAGCTTTGTCTTTAGGACATTGATATGAGATTTCCCTTCTATTAAAAGAGGAACAAGTTAACTCTTCTAGCTTCCCTCAGAGGTGATTTTGCCCATGATCACCTGAGTTGAGATATTCATTCCTTCATTTGACAAACATCTATCAAGGATCTTTTATACTCCATATGATATACTAGGTAGGTAGGCATCAGCAATACAGACATGGGTAAATCAGTAATACAGACATATTGAGACTGAGGGAGATGAGTTGAAGTCTTAATTAAAGGATGAATGGAAACTAGCAGTGTGGGCATAGGCAACTCATGGGTAAAAAAAAAAAAGTAGCAAAGCCAGGAAAGGCATCTTCAGAAACCTGCCAAGTAGTTCATCGTGACTAGAAGTGAAGTGGGAGCACTGCCAAATATAAGCATGAGGATTTGGCAGGGGCCAAATCATGCAGAGCCCTGGGTGCCATGCTAAGTAGTTGGAGTTTATTTCAAAGGTACTACGAGTCATGGATGAGACTGTAAAGTTCTCAGGAAGAGGTGACAAGATGACAAGATGAGCTTTTATTTTTAAAAGATTGATATGGATGCTACAGGAAGACTAGATTGGATGAGGTCTAACCTATCTCCTCACCAGCTTCCCTGGCTTTCACAACTACTGATGGAAGCATGAAGAGGAAGAGTTGAGAAGGTTGGTCATAGCCTATCAATTGCAAGGAGCAGCAGGCAACTCTAGCACCTCTGCTCACCTTGACTGTTCTTCCCTAGCCAGATTAGAAGCTGAGAAGCAACCTAATGCTGAGATTAGTAGGCAGGTTGTGTGACTATTATCTTTTCTTGCTTATGATAGATATAGCCTACAGACAGGAGGAAAGTTCCTCCAACTATGGGGACAGGAAGGGATGGAGGATGGCATCTAGGCAGAGTACAAGGAGCTAAAGTTTAGGTTGCCTTTAACCATCCTGATACTTATCTTACAAGTTCTTAGGTTATCACTTTATTATATGCCCTTCTGTTGATCTTTTGCTAATGTCTTTTTTGAGGAGAGGATAGTAGCAGGGCCTGGGCACTGTCCCTGAGCTTTTTACTCAAGTCTAGTGCTCTACCACTTGAGTCACAGAGCCACTTCCGACTTAAAAAAATATTAGAGATAAGAGGCCTATGGACTTTTCTTCCCAGGCTAGCTTTGAACCATGATCCTCAAATGTGTCCTAAGTAGCTAAGACAGCAGGCCATGACTCTTAAAGACTTGGATTTGAGCGTGATGCCGGTGGCTCACTCCTGTAATCCTATCTGCTGAGGAGGCTTAGATCTGAGGATTTCAGTTTCAAGCCAGCATGGGCAAGAAAGTCTATGAGGCACTTATCTCCAATTAACTAGCAAAAATCCAGAAGTATAAAATGGCTAAAATGTAGAGCACCCGCCTTTAGTGAAAAAGCTCAGGGACAGTGCTCAGGCCCTGAGTTCAAGCCCCAGCACACACACACACACACACACACACACACACCACGGAGAATGGTTAGGAGACAGGTTTGATTAGTCCAAGTGAGAGTGGTTGAGGGATGAACAAAAGCAGCATAGTGGGAATGGAGAGAGTAAATGTATATGGAAGGGAAATGAAAGTTAGAACTTAGGACTGGCCTAGATGAAAGCAACATAAGACAGGGCCTGTAGAAGGGAAAAGTCAGAGTTCTAGTTAGTAACATTGGAACAACTGTCCCTGCCCATTTAGGAATTGTCTTTTCTGAGCCATTCTTTGTTTAATCCTTAGAGATTTCAGTGTTCTGTTTAACAAAGAAGTCTACTAGCTTACAGATATGTAGTTTAAAGATGATTGGCAGAGCATCTGTGATTGTCACCCTTGAGTGCCAATGAAAGAGCAGCCTGCTAGGCCAAGGAAGGTCATGAGCTCTGAGCACCTCTGAAGCTTCTGTGAGAAGTCACTCAGGCAAGACTCCCTCTCTCTCCCCCAATACACACAAGGTAAAAAGTGTATCACAAAAGACCATTTATCATAGAAGTACAATGTAACAATAACTTACCCACACAGTACCTGCTGCACACAAAGGAGAACTGGTAATATACCAGCGGTCAAAGAAGGCTCTCATTCTCTCACTCTTGGGGACACAAGTAAGTGGGATGAGGACAAAGAGAACGTTGGCCTCTAATGCATGGCTGGACAAGAATGGACAAGGGAGGGGAGTGGAGTGGTCCATTGCTCCCTGTAAATGGTAGGCCCTGGCCAGCCTTGTTCTCACCCTTTCCTTTCCACATGTCCCCCACCCCAGCAGAGGATAAAGGTGAGTCACTCTTCAGACACCTTACATAGCCCAGGAAGTACACCTTCAAACCAGACGGGTGAGGAGGTAGACAATTTAGAGTAGAAGGAAGAGGG